TGGTGGATTTTGTCCACGGTTTAAAGTTGATTTTTGTACGATGGTTGGTTAACAATTTTGGAAGTTAACTTAATCGTGGAGGTTATTTTTCTATTTTTTCAACAATTCATTTGCATTTGTGTTTGCATATCACGTCTTGTGTAGGGAGTGCGACAAGAGTAATGGCCGATAGGCATGATTATTCGTATCTCATTCGCCCTTCCGCATGCGGATTACATGGTACGGGCGACGATACAGAAATTATCGCCAATGACCACAGAGTTCGAAAACGACTCATGGATGAGTGTCGTCCCCTTCTTGGAGAAACCTCTCGATGCCTGGTCCGAGGCAGAACGGGATAGAGCAATTCTGACAAGGAAATGTCCATGGCATAAGGAGTACAAGTTTGCTTCCGCGATGGAGTGGGGGAGCCTAATCAAAGTACCTTATTATGCCATCGGCGTAAGACAACTTCCGTCCCTCCTCGCTGCACTCAGAGAACAAGAGAATAAACGGTTTTACCTTCGCTTAGAGAACATCACGATGTCACCTCGCGTGTGGTCTGAGGACTTGAAACAAGAGTTGTTGGACTGTGCATCCTACAATCCGTTTTTTGGAACTATATCTGCTGCATGTTGTTGGAACATGGCAACAAGATCTGTCATATTGTTGCTTACGATTGTCTTTGGTTGGTTTCAACCTCTGCAGAGTGTTGTGTCTAGCATGTTCGAACCGAAAGTGAATTTTAGTAGACACTATAGTGCTTGTTTCTTGCAACGAGCTTAGAATCAATGGTCGCAATATGGGCAATTTGCGCATTTTCTACGAGAATGGACAGTCCGATTTGGAGATTGTCGGTCAAATTCATGAGGTTGACAAGTGGCATGAGGTGGAGAAAGTGGCATGTTGCGTGCGTGATGCCATCGGTAAGTCCTTGGCAGGTGTTGGTAAGTTTGTAAGGATGAAATACATTTCGGTGTTCTCGAACATGGCGACGAATGGACAACCACAAACTTTTGCTTTCAGATCGTCAATGAATGCTTTATACGGGTTGGGTTCTCATCAGTATCGGTCTCATGAACGTAACCGGCACCGGCCACATGAGCGTGACCGGCCGGTCACGGGAACTGAAATTCATGAACGGCCATTCATGTGGTTTCCGCCCACGTAGAGGCCGGAACTGACGGGATGGGGCGGGAGGGAAGTGGTGCGGGGGCCTTCTACACCCCTGTACCTTATTAAAAAAAAAAAAAAATTAAAAAGTCAAATGGGGTGTGTGTGACAAAAGATAAAATTATTTGGGGGGTGGAGGAGGCGGGGGGGTTGGCGCAGGGCCCTGGCAGGTAGAGTAGAAAAAAATAAATATATAGGGGTGTTGGTAACACCCCACATAGCAGCTACCCCGTCCATGTCTCTCTCTCTGTCTCTCTCTCTCTCTCTCTCTCTCTCT